TCTTTTTCCATCCTTTCACTCTTAGTCTATGTGACTCTTTATGGGTGAGGTGGGTCTTTTGAAGGCAGCATATAGTTGGGTCCTCCTTTTTAATCCAGTCAGCCAGTCTGTGTCTTTTGATTAGGGAATTTAAGCCTTTTACATTAAGAGTTGTTATTGAAAAGTGTTGATTCGTTCCTAGCATTTTATTGATTTTTGTTTGGATGTCTTAAGTGTCTTTTGTTCCTTTCTTTCTGATTTACTGTCTGTTTTGTGTATTTGTTGGTTCCTTGGGTTGTAGATAGTTTTTGTTTGTTTGTTTGTTTGTTTGTTTGTTTGTTTGTTTTCTCTTCATGGATGCCGTTTTTATTATACTAGTGGGTTTTGATTTTTCTTGGTTTTTATGGCAGTGATAGTTGTTTTTCAGGAACCAAACCCAGTACTCCCTTCAGAGTTTCTTGTAAGGGTGGTCATGTGGTAGTGAACTCCTGCAGTTTTTGTTTGTCTAAAAATATACTATTTGCCTTTCATTTCGGATGGATAGCTTTGCGGGGTAGAGTATTCTTGGCTGGCAATGTCTGTCTTTTAGTATTTTTAATATATCATCCCATTCCTTTCTGGCTTTTAGGGTTTGTGATGAAAAGTTTGATGTTAGTCTGATTGGGCCCCCCTTATAGGCGATTTGATGCTTCTCTCTTGCAGCTTTTAAAATACTCTCTTTTTCTTTGAGTTTTGCCAATTTGACTATAACATGTGTTAGAGAAGACCTTTTTGGGTTGAATACGTTTGGGGATCTTTGAGCTTCCTGAATCTGAAGATCTGTGATTTTTCCTATGCCTGGGAAGTTTCCTGCCACTATTTTGTTGAATATGTTTTCAATACATTCTCCTTTTTCCTCCCCTTCTGGAATACCCATGACTCAGATATTTGAGCGCTTAAGGTTGTCTAATGTCTCTCTCAGATTTTCTTCAATATCTTTGATTCTTTTTTCTTTTTTCTTGTCTTTTTGTGTTATTTCAATCAGTCCATCTTCAAGTTCAGAGGTTTTCTCTTCAACTTCCACTATCCTGCTGGTTAAACTCTCCGTTGTGTTTTTTATTTCACTGAATAACTACTTCACTTCGGCAAGTTGTGCTACATTCTTTTTCAGGGCATTGATTTCCTTGTACATTTCTTCTTTCAGGTCCTGTATACTTTTCCTCCTTTCATCATGATGTCTAGCTGAGTTTTCTTGTATCTCATTCAGTTTTCTTAGAATTATCACTCGAAATTCCTTGTCAGACTTTTCAAGGGCTTCTTGTTCTATAGGATGTAGAGCTTGAGAGTTATTACCCTTTGGTGGTATACTTTCTTGATTTTTCATATTTCTGGTATCTTTACTTTGATGTTTAGTCATTGTGGCAGGGAGTTTCACAGTCCACTGGTTTGACACTGTTGTCTGGCTAGGATGTTGCTGGGGTTGCCAGTTTGTTATGGCTGCCTCAGTGTCTGCTCGGTTGGCGACTAGTGCCTTGTGTGTGTGGTTGCCTCAGGTCTTGCGCCTCTCAGGGGAGCCGCGTCTCTGGTCAGCATGCACTCGGCCGGGCTGGGAATGGAGTCGGGTGGCAGCAGTGAGGCCTAACTCCTGGGTCGTGTGCCAGCACCACAGGACATGTGGTCTCTGTGGAGCTTCTTCCTCCTCTGCTGGATGTCTCCCTGCTCCGCACACACTCGGCCGGGCTTGGGATGGAGTCGGGTGGCAGCAGTGAGGCCTAACTTCTGGGTCGTGTGCCAGCACCACAGGGCGTGTGGTCTCTGCAGAGCTTCCGCCTCCCCTGCTGGACATCTCCCTGCTCCACGTTTACTGGTTAGGTTCAATTTTTGAGTTTGGAGGCTGGGAAGTCCAAAGTCCAGGGAACACATCTGGTGAGGTCCCTCTTCCTGGTGTGGTGACTTTCTACAGCAAATCAAAGTATCATATGGCAAGAGAAATGAGCTGAGCAAAAGAGACTGATTTGCTTCACTTTCAAGTTCATGTGGCAACATTTAGGTAGTTTAAGTCAAACTGGTTAAAATGGTGAGGATGGGCCGGCCCGGTGGTGCACTGCTACAGTGCGCTGCTTAGGAGCGCGGCGGCACTCCCGCCGAGGGTTCGGATCCCACATATAGACCGGTTCCCGCTCACTGGCTGAGCGAGGGGCGGGCGCAGCACCGAGGGTTGCGATCCCGTTGCCGGTCCCAGTCCGGTACGGGCGCGACACTGAGGGTTGCGGTCCGTTGCTGGACACGAAAAAAGACAAAAGGGAAAAAAAAAATGGTGAGGATGACAAATGTTAGGGACATTTATTGTTTTATTAAACACTTAGTATTAGGCACTAGTGATATCAGTGGAATAAGTACCATTCCTACCCTCAAGAAACTGATATAGCATAAGAAACACAAACGAATATAAGATTATATAATACTTATAGTGTGATAAAGAAGGGAACAAGTTGCAATAAAAAAAGGGCTTCAATTGAAAGGTTAGAAAAATTAAGTTTATCTACTAATAAGTGATCAAATAAGACAAGAAGAACTCTGAAGAAGCAGCAGTGACAATCCATTTTGTATAGAAAAAATAGGCCCATACATTTCATATGCTCTACAAACTTTCCCTCATTATAAGGCAAAAAATGTCTAATGGCATATTTCAGGGAAAAAAATCCTAAAGGTGGTTACAGCAAAATTTTCGTACTGGACAGTTCATTTGTATAAAACCTTATTTTGTTATGATGCTGAATATATCACTGAATCTCCAGGTAGAGAGTAATCTAGTTCAGTTAACTCATGTGACACTTGAATCCCCTCTACAGCATCTCTGTCAAAAGGCCACCTAGCTCATGTTTTCATACTTCTGTTAGCACCTTCTGAAGCAGCTCCATTTGGGAGCATCTCTGATCAATAGAAAGCTTTTCTGGATTACATGGTACGGAGGGACTGGATCTGTCACCTCTTTTTATAATTTTACCACTTCATACCATAAAATGTGTTCAGTAAATGTTTGACTGATTTTACTGTAGTTTTCTACTATCAGTTCAGATTCTCTCACTTGGCTATTATAGCCCTTCAGATATTTGAATATAGTTATTATTAGAACAGCACTTGGAAGGTAGTGAGTTGTTGCTGCTGTTTTTATTTCCCCTTAAACCCATTCTCCAAATTTTAGTAATACTGAGTTATCTAAAATGCAAATCCATACATGTCACTCTCCTACATTTACAAAGAGGAGTGGTTCCATGTCATCAATGGTGGTGGTACTTAATATTTATTTTTTAACTTGTGAACCCATTTTAGAATCTAACTTCCCCAGAAAAATGCTTATACTCCACACTTTTGCACATCAGTGTGTTCTGAATTTCCCTGAAGCCCATCTGCTTGATTCCTTAAGGTCCCATGGCACAATAGTAAGTGTTCAGTAAACTTTTGTTGAATACATAGAAGTATAATCTCCTCAGCAGAGCATACACCTCAGCCTTCATGGTTTTTAAAGAGGGAGCTGAGGGAATGGAACATGGGAAATGAAAAGCAGGAGGGGGATGTGCAAGAGGCCAGGTGCAAATTCTCACCAAGGCTCTGTCTGGTTTCTGCTCCCATCCTTACTATTATCTCAGGGTCTGGATAGTATGTGCAAGTCTGGAGCTTCAGGCTGGCTGGAAAACCACCTTACATTCATGTGAATAATGTCATCTTGCCTCATACCCAAGATTCAAAATATAAAATAACCAGGGGAAAAGAGAACTCAGAGAAATGCACTCCAAGAAAAAAAACGTCCTTTTAAAATATACCTACAGCTCATGCAGTTTTAGTTCGCAACATGGCTTCAGTCCTGCTCACTCCAACATCATTGCATATGCTGTTACCTCTGCCTGGACTATACATTTCTCCTCCTTTCGTTCCTCCTAAAGAATCCCTTTTCCTTTTTATTTAGGCATCATCTCTTCTGGGAAGCTAGTTTCTCAAGCCCCTTGTGTATGATGTTCACACGTAGACATATAATTACAATATAGTTACCTCCACTTTTGCATCGTGAGAATCTCTAAGACAGGATGTCTTTCATCTCTGGTTTCCCCATCTAGTTTATAGCCTGGTACATAGTAGATAATCAGTAAGTTTGAATGAATGAGTACATGTGAAATTGAATATAATGAACTTGTTTGACGATATCTAATATTTTAATTTTTGATATGGTTTGGTGGTATCCTACACCTAATTTTAATTTATATATTAAATGTTTTTACATTTGAAAATTTTATTTATTTTCTAAGAACATTTTAATTTTAGGTATTTTAAAATATTTAAAATACTGGCTTAAAAAATAAAATATAATTCTATTTCCAAACATTAAAAATTTAATAGTTAACATTTAATTTTTTTCCTCTTGTTTTTTTATATTCAAGGCCTACTGTGTAACAGAACCTGGAGCAGGCTCTGATGTAGCTGGTATAAAGACCAAAGCAGAAAAGAAAGGAGATGAGTATATTATTAATGGTCAGAAGATGTGGATAACTAATGGAGGAAAAGCTAATTGGTATGTTGTTTAAAACATCTCTGTATATTTCTTCCTAATTACGTTATATTCAGAATCTTTCCTCTCTTCTTCATTGTATTTTTATACCACCACAATTAAGGTAAGTTACATTCATGGAACTGGAAGATCTGTAAGTGATTATAAATAGTTAGTGATTTTCAATAACTATTTTTAAGACCCTAAACTTTTTCTTCAAAATAACTCTCAGAAGTTTAATGTGTAAAATAAAATAAAAATACTTGTTCTGGTTGAAAATGACTAGGAAGGCTAGTGCTCCATCCACTTGGCTCATTGTCTCCACTCCCCATCTCCTTGGCAGCATCTTCTTGGAACCCCTGAAACTCTGAGGAAAAAAGAAAGCCATTAGTATAGCACATTTCTCTGATTCTCAGAAATAAGCAGAGGCAGTTATAAAACTCAGGTTATCCTTTAGGGAAGACAGAATCTGACTTTAATAAAATCTAAAAGGTCCGAATATATAGGTCCAAAAATAATGATATGAAAGTTCAACAAAGTATCAAAAAGTCATTTGTATAAATTTAAAATATTAAAGAAAAACACTTGGTTATTTGTTGAAAAAGAAGAGGAAAGCTTAATATGTAATTTTAAGTTCAGTGAAAATCAACAATATGATGTATCAGCCTTTAAAAAGCTAATGTAATTTCAAACTGAAGTAATAGAAGTATAGCATCAAACAAGAGGAATAAATGGTGACAGTCAACACATTTTAAGACATGCATTGAAAAAATGGAATAAATCCAGAAGCAGGTAAGCATCCTGCATTAGAAGGAGCATACAAAACATGTTGTGAAAAGTAAAGGAATTAGGTTTGGCTATTTTGGAAGAATCTTGAAATTTTTTGAAATAATATTGCACAAAAAGAAGAGCAGGCTTGTATGTTTTCTTCAGGAAATCAGTTTAGAATTAATAGGTAAAAGTTAGAAAAATGTTAGCTCAACATATGGACAAGCTTTTCAATAACAGTGCTGTCCAATATGTGTTAAGTTGCCATGAAAAATAATGTATTTATGCATCACTACAAGTACGTAAACAGAGACTTCCTAGAAGGACTTTTTGGTGATTGGAATAATGTACTGAATGGCCCATCTCTCCATATCTGCAAATATTCTGATGCAATATATTTGTGTGCGGTGCAGTTCAGTGTTCTAGCAAGTAAAGCATCATTCCTGGGAATGAGCCTACCAGGAAGTTGTTTATTTTAAATATATCTATCAATCCATTATGAGTATCCTAAATGTGTCTAATATTACGGGGCGCTATATCATTATCCTTAAGCAATTCATTGTAGTATTAGCAAGTAATAAAAAAGTGAAGAAACTATTAAAATTTAACAAGCTGAAAGAAACCTAACAATGCAATCGGAAGTTTTCATAATTTTAAGAACCGATTACAACTCTTCATATAGTAAGACAAATTAGATAATATATGAAACTAGAAAACAATTTTTACTATATTTTACTATTATTATTACTAAACAAAACTATAGGGTGAATGAAAATTTATTAGTTTTCAGCCTAGGAAATAAATTTGTTGTTTTTTAAGGAGGAATAATACCGTTTTTGCTTTTTGTATTTTAAATTCTCCTGTGCCAAGATATATGGAACATGGATTAGATCGATGTTTGGGTGTTTTTCATTTTTTCCTTATGTTTGATTTCAAAATACTTCTGAGAAAAAAAATCCTTCTGGAGGGAAAAGCAACAAATATGCAAATATTTATAATAATTCAGTCATAACCAAAGACTGATTTCCTTGCATAAAGGGGACAGTAGTCAGAATATAGGGGTTTCTGTCTCCTATTATTCCTTTTCATAGGCATCCCTGTTTGCCCTCCTTTTCTAGACAGCTTGTCTCTTAAAGAATAAAATTCGTTTTGAGGAAGAAAAAGTGTCAGTTCCAACATGCACTTACTTTCTTTTAATATTACATTATATAAGGAATTTTTACTTAACAATTCATACTACCAAAAAAACTTAATACCGTTTTAACTACGTCAAGATGTAGACCTGGGTTGAAATACTAGCTCTGGGCCAGCCCGGTGGCGCACTGCTACAGTGCGCCGCTTGGGAGTGCGGCGGTGCTCCCGCCGAGGGTTCAGATCCCACATACAGACCGGCCACTCACTGGCTGAGCAAGGTGCGGGCGCAACACCAAGGGTTGCGATCCCGTTGCCGGTCCCGGTCCGGTACGGGCGCGACACTGAGGGTTGTGATCCGTTGCCGGTCACGAAAAAAGACAAAAAGGAAAAAAAAAAGGAAAGAAATACTAGCTCTGCCACATACTAGGTATGTGTTTTTGGCAAATTTTTAAACCTGTCTAATTCTTCATTTCCTCATCTGTAAAATGGAATTAATAATAATTGGGATTGTTGGGAAGATTAGCAATCACCCTGTGTTGTTATTTGCTGATATCATTGTTACCATCACCATCTGTGTATATTAGGTATTTTTTATTGGCGCGTTCTGATCCAGATCCTAAGGCTCCTGCTGGTAAAGCCTTTACTGGATTTATTGTGGAAGCAGATACTCCAGGAGTGCAGATTGGAAGAAAGGTAAAGTGTATATTTATTGGTTTTTAAGGCCTCAAATATTATTTTAACTATAAATTTCAAAATATTATTTCAGTTTTCTTTAAGGAAGACATTTTGTTTTCAATTGGAATAAAAATAAAGCTGTGTTTTGATGAAATCAAACAATAGTCTACATGAAGCTGAAAATTTTAAGTCAATAATAGTCATATCAAGTCATTTTGAAAGAGTGGCTATTTATGGTAGCAACCTATGGAGAGTAATAACAACAGCTGTGAGAGATAAGGAAATAGAAATCAAACTATCATTTATATTGCCTGCTCAGTCATAGAGTTGTAGATATTTCAAAGCACTTTTCTACTCTTTTTCCCATTAGTTCCTCACAGAAACCTTTTGATTGGATAAGTGGCATTATGCCCATTTTATGGATCAAAACAACTTGACATAAGTGGATTACCCAAGGTCATACAACACTAAGAGAAAAAAGCTATGCCTGAAAAAAGCATAAGAATGGCAAAGAACCTTGAATGTGGAAGGTCAAGAAAATTTTATTTAAATAAGAAAAAGTTAATTTAACATATTTGAAAAGGGCTATAATCAGAATGTGTGGAGATAATTTAGCATTTAAAGTAGTATAAAGAGAAAAGAGTTTAAAACTTCACAAATCAAAGGAGAAAAGAAATGAAATCATTAAAGTAATCCTAGTGAGAGCTAACAAAGCGTGATTTTAGATTATGACTCTGAGAATAGGAAGAAGAGACTTAATTTTACAACTGTAAAACTCTTTATTGCAAAATGGATTTTTGAAAAAGAAAACCTATTAATGACCAAATGATGTCTATATATAAGGCAAAGGAGGAACTGTGGAAGTTAATTAAGAGTTACTGAAGGTTACGTGAATATATTTTCTTCCTCCCAGATGGGGAAAGGTATAGATTATCCGGTCAGATATTAGAATAGAATGCACACCCTAAATTGGAAAAACTAATTTCAATTGATTAAGTTAAGCAAATTTCTAAACCAGTTATGTGTTTTTGTAAAATCCTGTTTTATTAAAAGCCATCAGGATCTGTTGTATCTAAGCCTCTTTAAAATGGAAATTTGTTGCTAGAGTATATAAAATGGGTAACTTCTCTTTTAGGTCACAGAATTTTAAAGGTGGAAGATACCCTACATGTTATTTACTTCAGTCTATTCCCTGAATATTGAAACTGAGGTCCAAGTGAAATGATTTACTCAGGGTCACAAACTTAGAGTCAGACTTGAGATCGGTACTAAGGTCTCTTAGGAATGTGCAGTTTCTGACATTATATTGTGCTATTCTCTTTTAAGAGTTGATATTAAAGGTGGACTGCACTTTACAAATAAAACTAAATATTGTTATAGTATAACAAAGTATAAGTATTCAGAATAGTTGTGCTTCTCTCAAGAAAATGGTTTTTATTTGTGTAATGGATCATGTTTCCTTCTTTGGGATGGTTGCTAGCAAACTCAGGGCCAAATGTATAGCTCAACTTTATAAAATATAAAGGACCTAATAGCTTATACTTTTTTCTGTAGTAACCCCATTTCTGATTTTATCTTGCTATTTCTAGGCTTATTTTCTTTTTGCCCAATTTTCTCACTTAAGAAAATTCTGTAATTGAATAAATATTTACTATTGAGTACACACTATATACTAGGCACTATTCTAGGTGTTGGGGATTCTGTATGAATCAAAACAGACAAAAATCCTTGCCCTTGGGGAATTTATTCTCTAGTGAGGAGACAGATAATTATATGGTGTATATTTGAGCCTCCTTAAATCTTTTTTGAAACAAATGGGCATTTAAAAATTTATGAAATTTGATGTTTTAAAAATGTATTTTTGTTTTAGAAATTATATGGTTTGAGATAAGTCCAGGAAGCATTTTGGTTTTAAATGTTGTGTGGTTTGATGTGAGTCTGGGAAACTGGTTAGAGTAAACAGTATTTTCATAAACAATGTTGTCTTCTTACATCTGAGCGGTGTTCTAAGGAACTAGAATTTGTTTAACTTATAAAGACAAAGTGATGTTGGTTTCTTTCTGGGTCAAACTACATATTATTGTCACCGTTTCTTCAAATCTGGAAGCAAATTATTAATATTAAAAACAGCAAATTAAAGGAATAATTCACAGTTCTATATTTCCATTTCCCCTGTTTCTCATCCTACTCATTAAAAATGAGATTTAAATTTTTTTTCCTGAAGGAAAGGAGTCACGATGTCTGCAACTTCTTCTCAAGTGTTTCAGCATAATGCTAATAGTTATGTAAATATAAAATTAGAGAAATAAAGCAAATGTGTCAATGTCAACAGTTAGTAAATCCAGATAGAGGGTTTATTCATCATACTATTCTTACAACTCTTCTGTTGGTTTGAACATTTTCAAAACAAAAAGTTGAAGAAATATAGCTAGTTGAGCATTTTCTTATAAAGTTAAACATACTCCTACCACATACCCAGTACTCCTGGGTAATTACTGAAGAGTAATGAAAACAAAGACCTATGCACAAATGTTTATGGCAGCTTTATTAATGATTGCCAAAAATTGGGGGTGGGGCAGATATTTAATGGATAATAGATATATGGTACATCCATAAAGAGGAATACCACACAGCAGTAAAACAAATGAATTATTGATGAGATAGCAAGAAGGATGAATCTCAAAAACCATTGTAAGTGAAAAATCATACGCAGATGGCAGACCTTATTATTACACTTACATGACATTCTAGAAAAGGAAAAAGTATAAATAAAATCAATGGTTGCCAGCAGGTAGGGGTAGAATAAGGGAATTGACTACAAAGGGGAAACAGGTAACTTTTTTGGAGTGCTGAAGTATTCTGTATCTTAATTGTAGTGGTGGTTACACATATATATATTTGTTAAAACTATTAAAAATGTGTACATAAAAAGGGTGAAAGATTTTCTATATGTAAATCTTACCTAATTTTAAGAAAGATTTAAAGAATTTTAAGAAAGTTGGAAGAAAATAAAATCAGTTTTTACTCAGTAGATTACTTTGCTAGCTCTGTTACTTAAGCTAAGATTAAAGGTCCCAAATCAGATTATATTTGCTAACTGTTTTTCCTGACACTCAAAGTAAAAAAGATACCTTTCAAACATAATGAGATTTGTCTTTGTATGTAGTATGTCCTTGTAGATCTTTAGATTACTGTTAGTTTCAAAGTTTATGAAACGTTGTAAGGGTTGGCAAACTTTTTTTGTAAAGATCCAGATTGTAAATATTTCAGGCTTTTTGGGCCATATGATCTCTGTCACTACTCAGTTCTGCCATTGTAGGAAGAAAGTAGCCATAGATGACATGTAAACAAATGAGTGTTACTGTATTCCAATAAAACTTTGTGTACACAACATGGATTGCAGCAATACTTTATTGACCCCTGTTTTAGATAATTGCAGAAAGTCATAAAACACTGGTTAAGACAAAAATTGGTGCTAGCTCAAAAAATGTTTCTTAAAATATATTGATTTTCTTGTTAGGAATTAAACATGGGCCAGCGATGTTCAGATACAAGAGGAATTGTTTTTGAAGATGTGAGAGTGCCCAAAGAAAATGTTTTAATTGGTGAAGGAGCTGGTTTCAAAATTGCAATGGGAGCTTTTGATCTAACCAGACCTCCAGTAAGTAATATTAGTTGATAAGCTTTATAAGATCTTTTATTTATTACATTACATAAGCAGTTTTATTTTAACATTGTATTCTTAGTGTGTCTTTCTTTCTAAATATCTGCTTAAGGGTGGAGGAGAGATATTGTTACCTTTCTTTATTTTTTAGAATTCTTCAACTTTCTTGCTGCCCATTATGGAAATTATTTTAGCAAATGCAAAATTACTATATTACTGCTAGATTTACAGAGAGGCAATCCACACTTAATTTGATCATTCCTGTTGACATGTATTCGTTTCCTGTTCCTTTACTCATTAAGAATATTTTCCCCAAAAAGTTTTCCCTTGTTAAATAAAAGGAATTTCTTTAATCTATGGTCCTATGCCTTACAAATGCCTGCTGTTACCTTTAATAAATAATATAAACTTCAGTGCTTGTCTCCCCTCATCCTCTTGTAGACTTAAGCAGTAGGTCATCTGTTTATTGTGTAATCCTTAACAGTCTCACACAGATAGCCATATACTGTATGTTTTAAAAACAACATGAACTTTTGCTTTTTAAAATGTTAAAATACTAGGTAGCAGCCGGTGCTGTTGGATTAGCACAGAGAGCTTTGGATGAAGCTACCAAATATGCCCTGGAAAGGAAAACTTTTGGAAAGACACTTGTAGAGGTAATTTTAATACTGTGCTTGCTCTGTTCAAATGTAAAGACACTCATTTTCATCTAAATATTTAGAAATTACTTTTAAAGTACAAACTAATCTGTTTCTACTTTAGTAACAAGAAGATAATGTGGTTTTTATCAGGATGGGCTTCAAGAGTAAATTTTCTTTAGACTATGCCACTAACTATTGGTCACTTTGAGAATCTGTTAAGATGAAAAAAAGAACAGCTTATATTATTGAGTGCCTGTCGTGTACGTGACACTGTGCTACACATTTTAAATGTATTTTCTAATTCCCCCAGTAATGCTGTTTTTGGTAGTGCTACAATCTCTGCTAAAGATCAGGAAACCAAGATATTAAATAATTTATCCAAGGCCACACAATTTATAAATCACAGGTCCAGGATCAATTTATGCTTTTAATCCATGTTAATTCTCATATCTTCTTGAGTATCAAATAATTTTAGCCCTGAAGTATTATGTCTTCCATGAATTTCCAGGGAAATTCTTACCTCTTCAAATATTGATGTCTCCTCCCCCATTATCTGTCTTCTCTCCTCTAACTCACTATGGATTGTGCAGTGAACTTCCTATTTCTGTCTTCGTGTGTCACTGGTTTTCAAACTCTCTGTGGTAAACAACCAGTTTGTTTTTAATTTCCAATAAATTGTGGACCATTATATTTGTAAAGTATGAATGTTACAACAATGTTAAATTGCTATTGAAATTTCTAAACGCTTAACTCTCACCTTCTGTACCATGAACCAGTAACAGTTTGTGGACTGGCACTAAGTGCCTTCACCTTAGTTTCATAAGTTATCTCTCTGTGCTGTATTCTAGGTAATTTTCGTAGATCTGCTTCCCAGTTCTCTGGTACTGTGCCTAATCTGCTACTTAATCCATCTGTTGAATTTTTTTTTTTTTTTAAACAGCTGACCAGTACGGGGATCCAAACCCTTGATCTTGGTGTTATAACATTGAGTACTATCCAACTGAGCTAACCAGTCAGCCTGTTGAATTTTTTTAATGACTACTTTTCATTTCCAGAAGTTATATTTCAATCCTTTCCATTCTACCCCTTCTTCCTTCATGGTGTCCTAGTTTTTCAACATAGTGTTTCTTTTTCTTTTATCTCCTTGATCATATAAAAATTCTTTATTTATAGTCAATTTCAGATCTTTTTCTGTTATCTCAAATTCTTAGAATGCTGATCTTTTGATCTGTTGCATTCTGCTAATTTTGTTATGACCAATTATTTCCCCTTTTAACTTTTGCTTGTAAGCTTATCTGCAAGAAATTTTTTTTTTTTTTCAATGCATTGTGTAAGAATCCTCGAGTGGCTTTTGTACTTTTTTTTTTTTTTTTTTTTTTTTTTAAAAAAAAACCGGAAGGGGGATCCCAACCCTTGGGTTGGGGTTTTCACCCCCCCCCCCCGCCAGGGGGAA